AGCTTGCAAACTGGATTTGCCGATGAGCTTGAAGGTTCTTTCGGCTGTGGGACCGTGCCGCAGAACCGCTTCACTCCACCTGCGAAGATGCCAAGTGAAGAGTGGGGGCTGTGACTTTGGCTAGTTTCAGAACTCAATCATCCTGAGCACCCGACGGCAATAACAATCACCCCACATCCAGCAGATATCAATGCGTATCAATGCGTCTCGGCACGGGCTGACGGACAGGCCGCAATAAGACAACCGACAGACTCCAGACGAGCCTGTGGGCTGTTCTCCGATCGGGCTCAGAGTCATGTGTGGAGCTCATGCTTTGTCACATGCATGATACACCTGAGGAGCCAACAGCTTGTATGCACTCGGTCTGTGTACACAGAGAAAACTCACCGCTGGGCGAAGACGAAAGCATGAACCCATCCCTCTCAGTTCCTAAATCTCCCAGTTCCTCAAACCCGATTCTTTGCAGCCTCAGAAGGGAATGTTTCTCCTCACGAGGTCGAAGTCCTGACGGTCTACCGTCAAGTCTATCGTTGGCTGGGAATCAAGCAAGAATCACTAGACGGCAATGCATCATCAGGCCACAGCGTGCCTCTTGCGATGCAACGAAAAGACTGTTACCCAGTCGTTGTCGCCCCCGGCTTGCGATGTTTCCTTTCACTTTCCACTGCTAGAGCAGGCGGTGATTCAAGTTCTGCCTGGCCAAGTGTTCGAGTGTAGATTGAAACCTAATCATTCACGTTGAGTTCGTCCGCGTGTTATGTTTTCTTGGATTTGCAACGCGACCCTTAGTGGTCACTGCCCGCCGACAAGGTTTAAATCAAGATGACGAATTCTGACAGGCAAGGAGCCTTCGTACATTAAATCAAGACAAGTTTGACGCGCTGATGACTTTACTCACGTTGCTACTTGTATCTCCTCTAGTAGCGTAGTCTTTCACTGGACTGTCCATGCATTGACTCTGCACCTCTGCACTTCTCAAAACCAGGGTCACAAGGCGACGTCCTCATCACTCTCGCCGTCCTCGTCATCCTCCTCCTCTCGATAACAAACCCACAGCAAACTCGCAAGACGAAATTCACATCAACATCACCGCAATATAACGCCCATGCTAGGTACACATTGTATGTGTGCTTGAGTGCGTGTGTGTGCGTCTCTGTGGCCTCTGTACATCTGAGTCTGTGTCTCTTCGTCGCTTTGTCTGTACCTGTGTTTGTGTTTGTACAAGTGTGTATGTGTCCGTTGTTTGTATAAACTTGATTACACTTGTGGGTGTCGGTCTGTCTCTGTGTGTGTGTGTGTTTGTGTGTTCGCCTGTGTTTGTCTGTGCTGTGTGCGTGTGTCCAACCCTGTACCAAAGAGCATCATTTGCTGTCATGAAGAGTTACGCAGGGGGCCGGTGCTCTCCCTGGGGTTCACCGGCCAACGAAAACACCCCCAGAGAGGGGTGAAAACGTACCTGCTCTGTGTCATGTTGGTCAGTAACTCTAGAGTGCAGTGCTTCTCAATTGACTTTCTCTGAGCAGATTTCGATACCTTTGACACATTGTGTCATGTGTGTGTGTGTGTGTGTGTGTGTGTGTCAGTGTGTGTGTGTGTGTGTGTCAGTGTGTGTGTGTGTGTGTCAGTGTGTGTGTGTGTGTGTGTGTGTGTGTGTGTGTGTGTGTGTGTGTGTGTGTGTGTGTGTGTGTGTGTGTGTGTGTGTGTGTGTGTGTGTGTGTGTGTGTGTGTGTGTGTGTGTGTGTGTGTGTGTGTGTGTGTGTGTGTGTGTGTGTGTGTGTGTGTGTGTGTGTGTGTGTGTGTGTGTGTGTGTGTGTGTGTGTGTGTGTGTGTGTGTGTGTGTGTGTGTGTGTGTGTGTGTGTGTGTGTGTGTGTGTGTGTGTGTGTGTGTGTGTGTGTGTGTGTGTGTGTGTGTGTGTGTGTGTGTGTGTGTGTGTGTGTGTGTGTGTGTGTGTGTGTGTGTGTGTGTGTGTGTGTGTGTGTGTGTGTGTGTGTGTGGTGTGTGTGTGTGTGTGTGTGTGTGTGTGTGTGTGTGTGTGTGTGTGTGTGTGTGTGTGTGTGTGTGTGTGTGTGTGGGTGTGTGGGTGTGTGGGTGTGGGTGGGTGGGTGTGGGTGTGTGGGTGTGTGGTGTGTGTGTGTGTGTGGGTGCGCGTGGCGTGTGGCGTGTGCGCGTGTGCGCGTGCGCGTGCGCGTGTGCGCGTGGTGCGCGTGCGCGTGCGCGTGCGCGTGCGCGTGCGCGTGCGCGTGCGCGTGCGCGTGCGCGTGCGCGTGCGTGCGTGTGCGTGCGTGTGTTTGTCTGTGTTGTGTGGGTGTGTGTCTGTGCTGTGTGTTGTGTGCTGTGTGCTGTGTGCTGTGTGCTGTGTGCTGTGTGCTGTGTGCTGTGTGCTATGTGCTGTGTGCATTGTGAGCGGTGTGGTGTGTGCTGTGTATAATGTGTGCTGTGTGATTAATGTGTGCTGTGTGCTGTGTCCTTGCCTCTGTGCCTCTGCGTCTGTGTGAGAGCCGCCTAAATTCACGTTGCAAAACAGTCATCATCACTTGGAACCTGACACAAGCATAGGTACGCAGCGGAGATCTTGAAGGTCCGAACGGATTGCCCACACACCACCTGCCCTTACCATGACCGTAAATTCGGGAACGCTTTGGTTAAATTTGGAGCCTGCAAACTCAACCGAACCCGCGGTGAAACTGCCTTGATAACATAATCTGCCGGATTGCAAGACCGACGCAAGTTCCATCTCCAACAACGAAAAGGACAAGTCCTCCTGCCAAAAGAGGTGTTCTAGCTCACCTGCCCACGACTCAAAGCCCCTACTATCTCCTACTTTTTGGCTTGCTGGTTCACAGCCATCTTTGCCCAAAGCGGTAGAAGCTCAACGTGAGTCTCATCATGTCTGTTTTTGATCACTGCGTCCTCCATCGAGCTTGAGCCAGGTCGCGTGTCACAAAGCTCCGGCCTCGGTGGCCTCAGCAGTGGCCACTGGCCAACAGGCACCCTCTGGCGGAGTCGATGCAACTACTGCACGGCATCTCTCCTTCCTGAGCTTCTTAGCCATGACTGAGCCGAGGGCATTTCTGCCCGAGCTAGGCCGACACACACGGCCACAGCAGTGCGAGGACAAGGCTGGCAGTCACTTCTGAGCACATAGATCGCAAACCAAGTCTATATAAGTCAGACTGCTTCCATGCGCCTCTTGTGCTTGGCTTTATATGACCAGACCATGTCTGTAAGTAGAAGTGGGCTATTCGATTTACTAAAGTAAGTACCAAGCACGATGCAAACATAAACGCGTAGCTAGCAGAGCTCGCTCGATCAACAACAGCAACAGCAGCAGCAACAACAACAACAACAGCAGCGGCAACAGCAGCAACAGCAACAGCAGCAGCAGCAGGCAGCAATAGCCATAGCAACAGCGACGGCACGAGCAACAGCAAGAGCCAGAGCGAGAGCGAGAGCAGGAGCAAGAACAACAGCGAGAGCGAGAGCAAGAGCAACAACAAGGGCGGCAGCAGCAGCAACAGCAACAACAGTAGTAGTAGCACGAGCAACAACAGTGTAGTTTCCATGACTATTTGTGTCTGACAACATTGCAGTTGCAGTTTGGCGAAAGCGTTCCCATAAGTGGCGACCATACTGCTGATGAGGTGAGGCGTTACACACTAAGAAGTTTTGCCGCTTGCATGGTGGAAGATGGCTTTCGGTAGTGGAAGGCGAAAACCCAAGACTTGACGATGATGAACTCCGGAAGTAATGTCCCAGAAGCGGCCCGCTGGCGACCCCCTAGCCCCAGCACAATTAACTTATGATTTAACTGGCCGTTGAACGTTGCGAGACGGTCTGCTCTATGCCTCTATCAATGAATGGTGTGCAAACCTGCTGTCACAATTCAGTCAGGATGTAATTGTTTTGTCCTAGAACACCGGCAAGCCGAACAACTATTAGCTCGGGATTTCTGCTGCCCCGTCAATGCCCACACCAGAATACGAATCGGGGGTAAATTCTCAAGGGCTGTCAATTAAAACGGAACAACTAAAATCAGCATTTAATCTCCTCCCAAGAGCTGTCGATCCCAGTATCGGGGGCTCACTCTCTGTGCCAGACGAAACCGGCAAATGCAATAAGGCGACTCACGCTCGGGATCTAGGGCGTGGCCGACTTGAGAATTCAGTGATTCCTCGAGGCTCGCGGGCTTGACTCCATATCGCCCAACTCGCTCTGCAAGACTGCGATCCCATGCATCACCGTGGAGCGGCAAAATACCCTCGAAAATCGTTCTTTCGTCGTCGTCGGGCCACATGATCGCTCTTGTCCACCGATCAGCCCTGTGATCCGCCCTGCCCAACACGGAACCATCTCCAAATCATCAATGTGGTGTTGCGGATGTCTTCTGCTTCTTCTTCTTCCGGATGGTTTTACATTTCATACGCCTCGAAGACCTACTGGTATGTAGGTGGCCTCCTCGCTTTCGTAGGCGTCTGCCTGCAACTGATCCGCAACTGCCTAAAAGACATCATCTCCGCCTGCTCCTCCGGTTCTTCGTTTCCTTTCGTGGCAAAGGCCTCGAAACCTTCGCGAATCTTGCTTCCTGTTCACTCCTTGCCACACCCTGCGGCAACACCGACTTGATAAATACGTCCACGGCCGCGTACTTCAGGCACCATGATCGTCGCCTCAGCAGCTGACTCTATTTGAAGCTCCTCCCTCAACAGGTGATCCTCGACTTCTTGGAGGAACATGTAGGCCGAACTTGATAGGGTTCCAATTCGATTACTGAAAATTACGAATATGTATACGCATCAGGATGCCAAACCGCCCAATTAAACCGGACGAGATTTGCTGGTACGCAAACGAATGGAGTTCCATGGCGGAGGAGACAAAATGCAGCGACACTACCAAACCAACAATTGCATCAGGAGCTTCTTTTGCACGTGTAGAGGAAAGCAGTCAAAAGCTGATCTGACTGGGTCGTTCGGTCGTGCAAGGCAGGTCAGAGCAGACAAAGTCAATCGAGTTTTCGTTTTATCTGACGTCTGTGCTCATTGGTTTTCAAGCGAGCCAGAGTCGGCAAGTGGTGGGACGACGTCATCTTTGCGCCAATGTCCTGCAAGACAGGACAAGCTGCAACACACTCTACGACACTGCTTCTCTGCACATCCACGCTGGGACTGCCGACTGCCGACTCTGCACATGCGCTGTAACACTGCTGGCTCAAGCCAGGCTACCCATCTCGGTGTCGAAGACAGGAACCCCCGCCAGCTGCCTGCAAACACAGGGAGTCAGATGAAGCAGAGTGAAGCAAAGCCTTGCGGAAACAGACTTGACAGTTCATGGTCACGACGTGCCACAGCCATCAACAACCATCACAAACCTTCACCCCATGAACATGAACATGGATTTGGATGTGTCGCCTACACATGCTTCCCATCTTGGGAGGTCTCAGCCGCATGCAGAAAGTTGACAGTCGAGATCATCGAATGCGTGTGTACTATAACCTGTCGCTGACGTGCATGAGCTTCACGATGTCCAGTGTGCGGCTTTTCTGGCACAACCTTGCTCTCCAAACTCAGACTGTGAGAAAAAGAGCCAACGTCGCGGCTCACTGCGAAGGCAATGAAGGAGACACAACACACGTCAAGCTGGCAACCCGCACCTGATCCTTCCAAACTCCGCCACATCTTCATCGCACCTCTCGCCGCCGATGACGACGACACAGCGCCGCTCGACCTCTGCTTAGATCTCGACTGGTGTACGAGATTCTACGAGTTTCTGCTGTACAGTATGAGGTTGCGTTTCTTCTATGTTGGTGTCAAGTTAATGCTGCTTCAGCCTGAAACATCAGTATGAGGCTGGAGCTCGAGATCCGGCCGACAAGCAACACCACTTGGCGCAGAGCACACAACGAGAACGACCGGATTCTGAGCAACCAGCAACGGGATAAGTCTTCTCAGGAGACGGAAGCGCGAGCACGGCTGCCTTCAGATGCCAGTCAGGCCAGTCTCTTCCGATCCGAATTCAAAGCCGCCTACACAGGGGCAGCGAATCGAATTGTCCACCATTGTACGACTTCTTTGAAATATCCAAACATTCTGCATCCTTTGAGTCGCCGTTGACAGGGCAAAATGAAGGATGACAGGACTTGAAGGGACTTGATGCGAGGGAGACACCAAAGAACCTTGGCATGTGACTCTCTGCGCCTCGCCTGGCATCCCATGCGACCATCGGACAAGTCGGCCTCGCAAAGACGCAAAAGACCAGGCTCGCTGAGATGTCGAGAATGCCAAAACTGCGAGAGAGGGAGAGGGCACGCGGTGACCGCTTCCTGGAGTATGTTAAAGGCAGAGGCTGGTAAAGAGGGTCGGAAATTGCCAGACCCAGCTGCACATATGTTTGATGTTGAGAGATTGGACGGGTTCTGGATACTGAGATCTCAGCGACCTTCTCTTCCTCTCTGGCTGAGAAGCCTGGCAGCAGAGGTCCACACGACACCAGCGCAAAGGCTCTCTTCAGCATTCCTCTGAAATCGCCAAACAAAAGCACTTATTTACTGAGATTGAAGCCATCCTTCACAACGCATGCTGCCATACTAGTCCATGGAAAGTACGGGAACTGTACTAGAGCCGATCATGTCAATCTAATCATCGCACTTGATGTTGCTTTCTTTGGCAGACTCCACACAACATAGCTCGACATGCTGGTCTGGTGAGTGATCTCTTCAAGCCGACCATCTTTCAAGGTTCAGTGCAGGTTCAGGAACTGGGGCCGTCTGCAGCACGATTGCGAGCCTGCATCTGCTGTGGGGACCCTGTATACCTTCGCTCGCATCAGGGCTTTGTGCACACCGCTGCGAAAGTCTTGCAATCTCGAGATTATCACTGATGAAAGCATACAGAAAAGAGGAGCCGAGTGGAGCCGCTGCCCTTCTCACCCTATATCCGCCGAGGCCAGCGGCCCAGGCGTCTTGGGTCTTACCTCAGGTACCCTCCACCTAATCCTCCTCCCTGCAGTCCAAAGTTCGTTTGCCACCCCCTTGCCCGGCTTCCCCTCATTTTACCTGATTTGTTGGCCTACCCGCCCTCTCCCAGGCCTCCTCCCCCCCCTTCCTTCCTGTTTTTTCCACCCCACCCTCCCCCCCCACCCCTCCCCCCCCCGTCTCCTTTTCCTCGTCCCCGCTTTGGCTTTCCCACCAAGCTCTGAATCGAGCATTTCACGGGTGCATTGTCTTCTTTTGGTTCTCTGACCAGACCGTTTACAAGACCCTCGCCCTGCCACTGGAGAGCCGAGGCGGGCGGCGTAGCGTTAAAATTAATCTCTTAGGCGGCATGCTTGAAAAAGAATCGCTTGTTCGACTCGACTTCAGCTGCGAAGGAGAATGCACCTTCCCTGTTCTAGTCTGCCGATATTTCTCCACCTCGACAGTGGAGAAAGAAGGTGCTCCGCCCACTACCAGCAATGCCTCATTGGCAGGCCGCACGGAAGTCTGATTACAAGGTTCGCTTGCGCAGATGGAACAAGCTGCCTTGCCGTCGATTGCAGCTGCACCTGCAGTCGTCCTGAGAATGGCTTGAATGTCTTAGCTGCCAAGGCGATCCTTGGCAGAGTTTACATCGGCCCGTGCGTCCAGGTTGGGGACTGAACAATGCTGCAACAGCGCACTCACTTTACGCTGGCTGGTTGCATAGTTTAAACACATTTCCAGGACATCTGAACTCATTGAACACTGCGTTCACATAAAGGCAGCTCGTCTGAGAACCATTACTGAAAGAGAGATGTTTAGCATCTTTCAGCTCAATAGCACGGTAGACACGCTGGTTCAGACTATGCCACTATGCCTTTGGCAATCGCGTGACTGTCCGAATGAGGCCTCTCTTCGCTCCCAGCCCTGCTCTCTCCCTTTGCAGTCGTACTTCTTTTCAGGCTCCTGCATTCCATTGCTCAGTACAGGACCGATTGGCAATAAGGTCTGTCGCAGGCTCGGCAAAACAATACAACAGGCCGAAGCCATCTTGCAACATCCCATTGCCTCCCTAAGGCGAGGCAAAGGCACATCTCAAATCCAGGCCACATGAAAGCATCTATCAGACTCACCCAGCCTTCAGCATGCGATGCGCCTTTCCGCGGGGGAACATCAGCCTTGCCCTGTCATGCCTGAGCAATAATTGTGTCTTTTCATGCCGTCCATCTCAGGCAGGCTGAGAATTCCATGATACTCATGGAAGCAGCAGCTTATGCTGAGCTCATGCATTCCTGGCAGTGCCTTGGACCGCGTTGTGCTTCGGATGCTCGTGTGTCTTTACTCAGTGATAGACCGTACAGGACGGCCGGGAGCGACAGAACAAGCCCAGAATCTTAGAGGAGTGTGCATGATTGTTCTGCAGGACAGCCTCTGTCACAGAAGCGACATTTAATCTAAAAGAAAGGCTGTCATTTTCGCCAGGTCCGCCGAATGAAGAAACCCCGGCCCTCACAGGAGAAGAGTATTGTGAATGCAACAGCGGCGGGTCCAGGGCCAACTGTCTGGCCTTTTGTTGGGCACGCCCAGGCAGGGACTTCAAGTGAAGTCAAGTGAAGTCCACAAATTCCAGATCAACTGGGCTGTTCTTCAACCTCGATTTGGAGTGAGCAGGCTCTTTGCGAACAACAGCCAAGTGTCTCAGACTGAATTAGGGCCACAGCTGCTTTGGAGTATACCTCTGGGCAAGGGATGCCTTTATGCTGTCGGCTGACCAACGCGGTGTCGTGCAATTAGCCCAAACAGAACCGGAGCACGCCAAGCATCCCTCTTCCAGATCTTCTGCCTGACACTGCTTCCTAGACTATCTGCAAAGGTCCCAAGTTACGTGATGGTGTATCTTCGACGGCCTCGGAAGCCTCGACAACCAACCTCAAAATCCGGAGTTTCTGTTTCCGACCCTTCGTCTGGTGAAACCTACTTCGTTCGACGGCCGCCCTTCGAAACCCTGCCTGTCAGAATCCTTGCGTGAGTTGGCAGGCCCAAAGCCCAAAGGATCAAAGGAGCACAGTGTCGACAAAAGGTGTCAAGCAGTTCGACTCCGATGCTGTCAGCCAAGCAAATTGATGGCAGTCCGGCGCATGGCAGAAAATGCAATTTGCTCCTACGGCGTCATGCAGTACTTGCCTAGTCCTCCAAATTTTGCATACGAGTAATATGCGTCAAGTACATGTCTAATTAACCATGACAACAAACAGTTGCCTCGCTCTTCACTGAAGGAAGAAGGCCTGACTAGTCCGCTCCCAGCAGCCTGCTGCGTCGGGCCTACTTATCCCAAAAGCATCTCTCTCGGTGTCTCTCTCTCTCTCTCTCTCTCTCTCTTTTTCCCGGAGGCCCCAAAGAAGAACATCTTTTTGGTGCAGGAAGGGGCGGTGCGGGGCTACTATTATGACCCCACGACGACGACTACTGCTACGACTACTACTACGACGACTACTACTAATCCCTTCCCCTGAACATTCAACCCCCCCCCTAATATAAAAACTGCCGGCCCCCGGAATTTTGCGGTTTCGGGCCCCGCATTCAATTTAAAAGGGACAACATTAAGGGGGGTGGCAGATCTGTATGTGTTCTAATTGAAGGAAGACTACCGTAGTACTAAAGACAGCAGAGCTTTAGGGTTTAAGGGTTTAGGGCTCAGGGCTTTATGGAGCCAAAGATTACAGCAGTACTAAAGAGACACGAGAGCTTTAGGGTTTAAGGGTTTACGGCTCAGGCCTAAAGCTTTTGGGCCCAGGGCTTTAGTTTGGGGCTCGAGGTTTAAGGCTTAGGGCTTTAGTGGGGCCTCAGGGCTCCAGGCTTAGGATAGCTAGCAGCTGGGAGTCCGGGTACGTGGGTGCACCGAAACCCCCCTAATATAAAAACTAAACCTCCGAAATCCAGTTTTTATATTATGGGGGGGGGGGAGCGTTTTAATATTAGGGGGAAGGGATTACGACGGAAACAGGAAAAACAAATACTAACGACTGGGAGGTGCGAAGGAAGGGGTTGGAGGAAGAGTGGTCGGGGGTGGGAAATCGAGGAAATCGCTGCAAGAGTGCGTGAAGCACTATGGTTCCGACGTGGTCATGCCCATGAATCAAGTTTTCCGTGTCACGGCCGATTTCGATAAAAGAAAGACACAGTCACATCGTGCTTAAGTGGCTCATTAACTGCACTCGGCGATCCTGACTCCTTTCAGCCGCTTTGTTTTCTCCGCTTCAGGGGTGGCTTCTCTCGAACAATCCCCTCGCAGTCGCAGATAGGCCGCATACACATCTCGAGCTCCTGGGCAACACGTAAAAAAAGCTCGCTGCTAGGCTTCCAGTGATGCCATGCTTTAGCTTCTTGGTGAGCGAATGTGGTTTGGAGGGTAGCTTCTGCCCCACGGTTGAAACACTCTGACTCTATGTCAATACAAGTCAATTATTCTGACTCTGTCCGTGTCTGTCTCTCTTTTGGCCTGTCTTTCTATCTCCAATTAGCTTCTTTCTCAGCCTTCCTCTCTTTGCTGGCCTCGGTCTGCTTCGGTCTCTCTCTCTCTCTCTCTCTGTCTCTCTCTCTCTCTCTCTCTCTCTCTCTCTCTCTCTCTCATTTTCTACCAGACCGTCTCCCTGCGTCGACCTCTGTATACCGATTCATTACGGACGACTACTCTCCGAAACTGGTGTCGAAAGGGCTTCAGCCATGGCCGATGCGACCTCCATGGTCCTTCGCTGTTTGGCGAGTGCGTCGCATGCAGTGAGAGAAAAATCACAACGTCGATTCACTGCCGGCGTGCTAGAACAAACTTGAGGTGGCACACGACATTACCGGTACAACCAGCTGCGATTTCTTCTGTGCTGCACCAGCATCGCCTATCTCTGTGCCGCCACATTTGTTGCTAGACCATCAGCAGGTTCAGGGGAGCAGGTGGTACCTCGGCAAGGTGAGCTCAAAACAAGCAGAAGCGACCAACCCTGCATTCGTCACATCATCATCCACTGTCACCGCGTGTCAGGACGACGGCATAGCTGCTGAAGGACAAGTCTACACGACGAGGCTATTTACTTCCATGCTTCCTGTGTTGCACTGTGCCCTGCTGCTCTGCTATAGGCTCTGCTCTGGGCCCAGGGCAACTCAGGAACTGGGCTGATACCGCGCTTGTAGCAATAGCCTCGGAAGCACCAGAGAGTACCACCCACAACGTAGCCGAAGCGGCTTGCGAAAAGTCACGCACAGTGCCAAATAACTGTTTGGTGAGACATCTCATGTGAAAGCTGCACTGCCCTTTGAACGGGATCTAGGCGCAAGGAGCGAAGGTTGCTTCATCTGCACACCCAGTAGAATCTGTGGACCAGGCGAGAGAAGTGGTTACCTTACAGTCCGGTCACATCCGTCTTGAGTTCATTCTCTCGCCCTCCATGCTGCAACACTGCAACTTCCAAAGCAAGGCTGGCAACACACAAAGGCTTGCGCACCATAAAGATCCAGAAAGGATGAGAGGTCAACCAGAAGCCGAGGGGCGTAGATCCTCCAGAAGAGTAGTAAGCTGCTTGATTCCTGCCAGTGCAAAGCCAGGCTGCAGTGGTGCGAACACGTGCTGCTTTTGCTATGCCGCTCGAAGGTGTCGTGACAATCGAAGGGTGGGGGCTGGGCTAAGCGTGAGATTGATCAAGTGTGGCCGGTTTATTTCAAAGCCAATTGCTGAACAGCGACTAGCAACAAAGAGGGAGCGGAACTGGAAGATGGAAGGGCGAAGAGTCACGGTGCAAGGTCACCAGCAAGCTTTTCTTTCCAGTCCTTCGTCCAAGTCCTCCT